GAGATGTTACTCGAGTTGTGCGAGGTATCGGCTGAGATTTGCGGAGTACAATTAAAAAAAAAAACTATAGGTCTAATAATGAATTATTGTGATGTTAAATAGACAATGTTAGCTATCATGGAGCGACGTTGTTTTTGATTGGGACCTTCGTCCCTTCAAGGCTAGGCCTATACCATCCTAGCTGGTCTAGGCCTACAGTAGAATAGGATAAGGCTAGCGCGACATGCGTACGTTGGTACGTGTTGGTTAGTCTACAAACGTCGCCTAAAGTAATTGATTTTACCCGGGAAAACGAAAGAAGGAAACTCCGCTTTTCAGTCGTCTTAGGCCCTTGTTTTTTGACAATGACCTTTCAGAGGTCAAATTGCTGTCAAGAATATGAATTGGCTGCTTCGCAGCAAATACATTTTCAGATAATTATTTTAAGAACAAGATTGTTTACTACAGAACTCAACAAGGCAAGAAATTAAACAAAAGAGGTCATTCTCAGTAATATTATGTGGGTTTCCTACTCTACAGTACTAGAGCCCAGCATACTGACGCCCAGGTACCTGTGTGTACCAAGTAGTGATGGCGACGTTATCTTAAAATCGGGGGTGTGCACCTTAATCCTCCCTTCTGCGTCTGCTTAAATGCAGCTTCAGAAAGCTTTTTTTTACTGTGGCGAAGGCACTATAATAATAATCTTTATTTGAAACTTCACTTTTAAAACAGTGGCACACGATGACGGTGTGTTCACAAAAGTATAATATACAGTACAATATAAAATTTAAAATAAAATAACAAACTATAAAAATACATGACCATCGACCATTAATATACAAGAGCACAAATACTGTATAATTAGAAAAGCACACAAAAACAGCAGTAAAAGATACCAAAAAAAAAACCATAAAATCATTTTTAAAACTGATTTAGTATACTCAGTAAAATTGGAATCGTGCATACACTTGTGACATTTACATTCTCAACTACATCTGTGATGACGTTGCAATGCCTTTTGTCATGCAGGATTTGGATGTAGTTAGATTATTGTAGTTCTATGAATCAATAAATCCATAAAATGAATTTGTAAAATAATACGCTCCCATCGAGGAGAGCTGCCCTCCCATCCCCCACCACCCGTCGGGGAGAAAAACCACAATTCCTCTGGGAGGAGAAAAAATGTATTTGTATTTTCCACATAATAATACTCTGAAATCGATAAATAATCTTTCAAAACCCCTAAATTGCCATATTTATTTTTTTTGGAGGGTTTCGCCCCGGTGGGACATAGCGAGAGATTTTGGGCAAGGCCCGACCATGCCCACTTTTTTCATTATACGGACATCGGACACCCGTCGGGCAAATACTGGCGCCACCCCTGCAAATGATTGTCTTGCAACCTTGCGAGGCTACTGCCCATTTTTGAACTCCAATTTACAGGAGGCCTACTTTATGCTAGTTTCTTTTCTATATGACCTTGCACAGTACTTTTAAATCTACTGGTAGTAATTTGTTATTTTCATGTTCTCCTTGTAGTATGTGTTTCCATGTTTGTGAGCCATACAGTACCTACATCAGAACAAGAATTAACACTTGGTTTATAAAGTGTCCTCCATCACGTAACTGGCAAAACTTGATGTTGGATGCAAATAAAACATAGTGACCTAATAGATTGGTGGTTAATAATTTATTGATATTTTTCTGTGGAGAATGTATAAAGGAATGTAATAAATATTGGAAGAATATCAATTCAGGTCTTGGTAAAACCAAGGAATTTTAACTGTACTGGGATAGGAAGCATGCTGACCTCACACTGTACATCAGAATTGTAGACATATCGTTGGTGCATGTTGTTGTATTTAGGCAAGTTCTCAA